CCTGTGAAGACTTGATATTTCTTGCCAAGCATTGTACAGTACTATTGAAGAATTTCTTATCTATTTTATAGTTTTGTAAAATTTCATTCAAGATTTATTTGAATAGACCAGATGTTTACACAGGTGTTAATTGAGCTTCCTCTATAATGCTCTATCTTCCTTATTATAGAAGTGCTATAGATTTGATTGACATCTTAATGGATCATGATAATTATTATCACATAAACTGCTGAGAAGAGCCTACTAAAAAAGCTCCGAGCATCCTCCGAGCATGCTCCGAGCTTCCTCGTAAGAATAAATCTATGATCCCTTATACGACCGCAAAAATTAAAAAAATTTTGGTCGTATATTGGTATGACGTTGGCGTCGTCCGGTTTCGTCCGAAGACACATTGGTTTTCGCACTCTAACTTTAGTTTAAATGAATGGATCTCCATGAAATTTTACCATAAGGTTCAATACCACCAAAGGAAGTTTGGGATTGATTTTGGGGGTTATGGTACCAACAGTTAAGGAATTAGGGGCCAAAAATAAGCATTTTTGTAACTTCCAGACATAACTTGTGTGTTAGTGTATGGATCTCTCTGACATTGTACCACAAGGTTCCATATCACAAAGGGAAGGCTGTAATTGATTTTGGGGGTAATTGCCTCAAAATTTTAGGAATTAGGGGCCAAAAAAGGGGCAAAAAACAAGCATTTTTCTAGTTTCATGACAATAACTTGTGTGTAAGTGTTTGGATATTTCTGAAATTGTACTACAAGGTTCCATATCACAAAGGGAAAGCTGGAATTGAGTTTGGGGGTAATTGCCCTAAACGTTTAGGAATTGGGGGCCAAAAAGGGGCCAAAAATAAGCATTTTTCTAGTTTCCAGACAATAACTTGTGTTCAAGTGTATGGATCTCTCTGAAATTGTACTGCAAGGTACCATACCACAAAGGGAAGGCTGGGATTGAGTTTGGGGGTGATGTATCATAAGGGGGTTCAAAAAATTTTTGGGGGGGGGATTTTTTTTTTTCTTTTTTTTTCTTTTTTTCCTTTTTTTTTTCTTTTAAAATTTCCATTTTAAGTTGGTTATTTCTGATTAATATTTAAAAGTAAATAATAATGATATGGTAGGAGATACACACCAAACAGGATGTGTAAATTATTATATAATAAGTATTGTGCAATAGCAAGAAATTTTCAATTGCACAGTATTGCACAATAGCAAGAAATCTTCAATTGCACAGTATTGCGCAATAGCAAGAAATCTTCAATTGCACAGTATTGCGCAATAGCAAGAAATATCCAATAGCACAATATTGCGCAATAGCAAGAAATTGTCAATTGTACAGTATTGCGCAATAGCAAGAAATATTCAATTGCACAGTATTGTGCAAAAGAAGATACTTCGTATAAATTGCTTATTTCTTGATCAATTTCAATGGGGTTTTATTCTTGAAATCTTGGGGTTCTTTAATATGCTGAATCTAACCGTGTATTAAGTTTTTGGGATTTTGGGCCCCGTTTTTAAATTGGTCCACATTGAGGTCCAAAGGGTCCAAAATTTAACTTTGTTTGATTTCATCAAAAATTGAATTATTGGGGTTCTTTGATATGCCGAATCTAACCGTGTATTTAGATTCTTAATTTTTGGTTCCGTTTTCAAATTGGTCTACATTAAGGTCCAAAGGGTCCAAAATTAAACTTAGTTTGATTTTAACAAAAATTGAATTTTTAGGGTTCTTTGATATGCTGAATCTAAACATGTATTTAGATTTTTGATTCTGGGCCCAGTTTTCAAGTTGGTCCAAATCGGGGTCCAAAATTAAACTTTGTTTGATTTCAACAAAAATTGAATATATGGGGTTCTTTGATATGCTGAATCTAACCATGTATTTAGATTTTTGATTTTTGGGTCCCGTTATCAACTTTGTCCACATTGAGGTCAAAAGGGTCCAAAATTAAACTTTGTTTGATTTCATCAAAAATTGAATTCTTGGGGTTCTTTGATATGCTGAATCTAACCATGTATTTAGATTTTGGATATTGGACCATAAGAGGTGAATGTCCAATTTAAAATTTTTAAGTTCTTAGACCACATTCATTCTGTGTCAGAAACCTATGCTGTGTCAAATATTTAATCACAATCCAAATTCAGAGCTGTATCAAGCTTGAATGTTGTGTCCATACTTGCCCCAACTGTTCAGGGTTCGACCTCTGCGGTCATATCAAGCTGGGCCCTGCGGAGCATTTTATTAAATCATGAAAACCTTTAATTGAGTTGAATAGGCGACACAACAAAATGAATTTATTTAGGATTTTCAGATGAGAATAGAGAGGCCTTGAGCAATATGAAAAGCTGGAACTAGGATTGTTAAAAATAAGTTTATTGCTTAATCACAACTTTAAATATTACTCAACAAGTAAAGTTAACATTTGATCTGTTTTAAATATGAAAATAAGAAGATGTGGTATAATTGCCAATGAGACAACTCTCCACCAGAGACCAAAATGACATAGAAGTAAACAGCTATATGTCACGGTACTGTCTTTAACAATGAGCAAAACCCATACTGCATAGTCAGCTATAAAAGGCCCCGAAATGACAAATGTAAAACAATTCAAACAAGAAAACAAACGACCTTTTATGTACAAAATAATGAACGAAAAAAAACCAAATATGATATACAGAAACAAACGACAACCACTGAATTACAGGCTCCTGACTTTGGACAGGCAAATACAGATTGTGGCGGGGTTAAACTGGTTAGATAGCGACAAACTCTCCCCTTAATCTAGGACAGTGATGCTACAGCACAGAACACACTTAAGATTATTAAGATCATTTGTTTGATGGACACTCCAAAAGTATGATACAGTAGACTCCACCTAATCGGATATCGGCTAAACGAATATATCGGCTATTGTAATATTATTTCAAAACACCAAACCATTCCCTATATGTTTAATGTTAATTTTATCGTGTAATCGAATATCGGATATAAGAATATATCGGCAAATCGGATAAGAATATTCAGGTCATTTTGTTCAAAACCATGCACAATCGTATATTTTCAATGTTTTTCTGACAGGAAATGGACCCGGAAGTTACGAATTTACAATCTTGCAGACAAGAAGATCTTGTTTTTACTAAATAAAAGGAACTATTTCTTAATAAATTGTTGTCTTTAATCATTGTCTTCCTTTGTCACGTGAATTAGATGCCCTTTTACTTCAAATGGTTTGAATTTATTTATAAAGTATGCAAGACTCAGTTGACAAGTTGACGTTGCTGTTTGGAGAATTTTGATTAAACTCTAAATGTTCACAGAATCAGAAATATAATCTAAACTGAATGTACCTCCTTCTGAATAATTTATTGCAATATAAATATAAATCCCTTTTGACAAGAGAAATCTGACTTTTGTCAGATAAATTTTTTCACATGTGCAAAAGTGACCACATGTCATGGACGCCATTTTGGATGTTTACAAATTTGTTAGGAAGCCTCTAGAACTATGACCTAAATATAAATAGTCTTCAGAAAACGTAAACTTTATGCTATAATATTTTATCAATCATGATTATTTTCATAAATTTAAATATAATTTTTAAAAGAAATAAAATTATAACAAATACGATTTTAGTTTGGAGATTCTACACAGACATGCTCAGATCTATTTATAGCCAAATTAGTTTACCTGTGTGATAATGTAAATAATGGATATTAATTTACTTACAAAACAAATAAAGACAAACTATGGATGGTAGATAATAATTCACATAAATATTTCAGGACATTTGATTTATTTTAATAAATAAAGGATTTAAAAACTGCAAACAAATTTAATCATTACATAATCAGCTGATAATTTTTTTACACAAACATCGTGGTGATGTAACTGATAAAAATCACTCCATCAATCCTCCAGCCCTTTCACATATTTAGCAATTGTCAGGGTTAGTAACATCTCAGGATTATATCTACTCATTATTGCAGAATATTCAATGAATATACATTCATCGTCTAATTGAATATATCGGGTAATCGGATATTTTTAGCTGACATTTTGGGTATCCGATTTGCCGGAGTCTACTGTAATAGACAAAATGCTATTAAACAAGGATGACTAGTACTGTAAATGATTATATTACGGATGCTGAACTTAAATGTTGAGTAATTTTCCCGAAAATGATACAGTAGTCATGAAGAAAATGTACAAGTATTAAGGCCATATTAATCTGGATAACAGTTTTTTGGTTTTTGTAAGACAAAAACTGATGAAACTGAATAAACTTCTTTTTCTCTCACTAATAAATATTATCACAGACTGATCTATTGAGATCAGATTCACCTTGCCTGATAGGACGTATGTGTGTCAATGAGAAATAGTAGGCCAAATGAAAAAGTGTGTGATCAGAATTATCTGGACAATGAACAAGAAGTTATTACAAGGGTTGTTTAAAATATAAAGTTTATTGCATAATCACGATGAAAACTGAAATATTACTCTAGAAAAGTTAACATTGATCTATTTTAAGACCATTTTTGGATAATAGACACAAATGCTATTAAACAAGGGAGATTACTGTAAATGATTACATTACGGAAGCTGAACTAAAATGTTGAGCAATTTTCCCGAAAATGATACAGTAGTCTGACTTGAAGAAAAGGTACAAGTACTAGGGCCATATTACTTTGATTAACATGTTTTGAGTTTTTGTAAGACCAAAACAATGAAACTGAATATACTACTTTTCTTTCTTGAAACATTTAAAAAGAGAAAAAGGTGTCATGTGTGAAAAAAATCCATAGATTAGAACAGCTCACTACATTTTAATGTTGCCACCTGAAATCATGTGAAAATTTTTTTAAAGGAAAATCAAAGGAGTTTTGTTTCACAAAGAGCTTAAATAATTCAATCAGACTAGCAGGTATTGAGTCACCCCAATGATTATATCATACTCCAGTGATGTAGTATTTAACATGCATAATCACTTTTATGTTTTAACAGATTTATTCTTCATGCAAAGAAAACAGCCTTTGTAGTAGAGCACGATTTCATCATGGCTACCTACCTAGCTGACAGAGTTGTGGTGTTTGAAGGAAACCCAGGCATTGATACAATAGCAAACTCGTAAGTGGTTTGAATTTTGCATTTCTTTATAATGTTTAAATGCTTCTGTTTCAGATATCTGAAATTTTTTGGGGGGATATCTTAACACTTGAAAACAAAATGGACCCAGCGGGGTTAGGGGAAACCAACAATCTTTTTTGCATGGCCTGAAAAGTGGACCAATATTGCCATCCGCGGAGCAGTTAACATTACACGACAAAAAAAGGAAAAAAAGATAATTTGCAGACTAGCTTAAAAAAGATTAGCATGAAGGTTCTGTTTGTAGTACTAAGGGAGATTATTTGCAGGGGTTACTATTTGGACACTTTTTTTTTTTTACATTGGGCATGTTGGAACCCATCCAGTATGTGTAGATTAGAGTTTTATCTAGCAATTATATGGTAAATATGAAAGGATAAAAAATGAGATGTGATATGATTGCTAATGAGTCAACTACAGTGAACAATCTACCAGAGTTCAAATGAAGAAGATATAAGCAATTATAGGTCACTGTTTTTTGGCCTTCAACAATGAGAAAAATCTATACTGTATAGTGTGCTATAAAAAACCCCAACATGAAAAATGTGAAACAATTCAAACAAGAAAACTTAAAGCCTAATTTATAACTATACAATTCATAAAACAAATATGCCATAACCACTGAAATACAGGCTCCTGATTTGGGACAGGCACATAAATGTTAGATTGAATGCTTCAATTTCTTAATTTCTTAAGTATTACAGGTATATATTAATGTTCTTTAATCAATCCAAAATTTACTGCAATAGTGTACTGATGTTTAAAGCTTTAATATCTATTTTGAAATTCGAATCAAGAGAAAAAACCTGATGGAATCTCATAATTTTCAAATGGATTGAGACCAGGGTAAGCAGTAATAGAAGATCCTTTTGCAAAGTAAATGAAATATGTTATGAGTCCTGAATAGCAAAGGTAATACGATAGTACGAATAATTGTTGAATTTATTTTTGTGTTTGAATATTACAGACCATCATCCTTACTCAATGGAATGAATAAGTTTTTGAGGTCTTTAGAAATCACCTTCAGAAGAGATCCCAACAACTTCAGACCAAGAATCAACAAGCGCCACTCAGTCAAGGTAAAATATATACTGAACTTGAAAATACAGTTGAAAGTGTATTATTCAAATACAGATCTTCAGTTGTGGTTTTACTTAATTCTTAGGTAAACATTGTTTGAGTTATTGATTGATAGATGTTTAGGGTAGTTTGGGTTTTTTAAGTGGAAATCGTTGTTTGTGAAAGCATTATGTTACCAAGGCTAAATTACGCTTTTCAGTTATACAGAAATTGTAACTGCTGCCCAGCTGGACTCTGAAAACCTACAGAGCAAAAAATGAAAAAAATACATGGGGCATTATTTATTGAATGTTATAAAAAGTAATCTTATTTGCAAAGTTGGTAGGGATTTCATACATATTCAGGTCAGTTATTTCAGAGAATTGACAAGTTTATTTTGGTATTGAAAGATGATTTCTAAAGGCTTGTCAAGGGAAATGATTGCAGATATGACAAAAATTGCATGGCATGTTCTACAGACAAGCTGGAAAGAAAAGAATTGATAGCAGCATTGATTTGTATGGGTCCCACAAAAAAATTGGCGGCCATGTATCCCAACTTGCAAGCGACAAATTGGATTTCACGAAATATTTATAAATTTCCACTGTTGAAGTATTTCATAATTACAGATGATTAAATTCGGAAGCTGAATAAACTATTTCTGTTGAAATATTTTCCCGAAAATGATGTAATTATTTGACAGAAAACTTCCCTTATGATCTACCAATTTAAAACTTGTCTCAACATTTCTTGCTAGTAAAAAGAGGGTATTTTCTTGACACATCAACGTGTTATTGTCCTGAATGTGCAAGAAATATTTTCTGCTGGTTGTTAAGCAGCAATCAATCATTTTAAGCCTGCATCATTTGCATAAATAATGTTGATTTGCTTCTAAAGAGCTAAATGTTCAATAAAATGTGTATTCCATTAAAATGGATGTGAGAGGGTATGAAGGGAGTTTCAAAATCACAACATTGTCGACATATATTCTTTTGCATAAATCAAATTAAAAAACATCCTGATGGAATAGCTCTTCATCAAATAGATCAGTCAATGTTGAACAAAACTCAGTCATGGTTGTTTTCAGTCTAAACTGATGCCATCACTACATAACTTTGATAATTGCTGTCTTGTTTGGTCATTGCTATCAGGTGAAAATGTTGCAAATGATCATGGGTATTTTTCCTCTAGTGCTTTGTGGTTTTTATACGACCGCAAAAATTAAAAAATTTTTGGTCGTATATTGGTATGACGTTGGCGTCGTCGTCGGCGTTGTCCGGCGTCGTCCGAAGACACATTGGTTTTCGCACTCTAACTTTAGTTTAAGTGAATGGATCTCCGTGAAATTTTACCATAAGGTTCAATACCACAAAAGGCAGGTTGGGATTGATTTTGGGGGTTATGGTACCAACAGTTAAGGAATTAGGGGCCAAAAATAAGCATTTTTATACGACCGCAAAAATTGAAAATTTTTTGGTCGTATATTGGTATGACGTTGGCGTCGTCGTCGTCGTCGTCGTCGTCGTCGTTGTCGTCGTCGTCGTCGGCGTCGTCCGAAGACACATTGGTTTTCGCACTCTAACTTTAGTTTAAGTGAATGGATCTCCATGAAATTTTACCATAAGGTTCAATACCACGAAAGGAAGGTGGGGATTGATTTTGGGGGTCATGGTACCAACAGTTAAGGAATTAGGGGCCAAAAAGGGGCCAAAAAATAAGCATTTTTGTAACTTCCAGACAATAACTTGTGTGTAAGTGTATGGATCTCTCTGACATTGTACCACAAGGTTCCATATCACAAAGGGAAGGCTGTAATTGATTTTAGGGGTAATTGCCTCAAAATTTTAGGAATTAGGGGCCAAAAAAGGGGCAAAAAACAAGCATTTTTCTAGTTTCATGACAATAACTTGTGTGTAAGTGTTTGGATATTTCTGAAATTGTACTACAAGGTTCCATATCACAAAGGGAAAGCTGGAATTGAGTTTGGGGGTAATTGCCCGAAACGTTTAGGAATTGGGGGCCAAAAAGGGGCCAAAAATAAGCATTTTTCTAGTTTTCAGACAATAACTTGTGTTCAAGTGTATGGATCTCTCTGAAATTGTACTGCAAGGTACCATACCACAAAGGGAAGGCTGGGATTGAGTTTGGGGGTGATGAATCATAAGGGGGTTCAAAAAATTTGGGGGGGGGGGATTTTTTTTCTTCTTTTTTTCCTTTTTTTTTTCTTTTAAAATTTTCCATTATTTCTGATTAATATTTAAAAGCAAATAATAATGATATGGTAGGAGATACACACCAAACAGGATGTGTAAATTATTATATAATAAGTATTGTGCAATAGCAAGAAATTTTCAATTGCACAGTATTGCACAATTGCAAGAAATCTTCAATTGCACAGTATTGCGCAATAGCAAGAAATCTTCAATTGCACAGTATTGCGCAATAGCAAGAAATATCCAATAGCACAATATTGCGCAATAGCAAGAAATTGTCAATTGTACAGTATTGCACAATAGCAAGAAATATTCAATTGCACAGTATTGTGCAAAAGAAGATACTTCGTATAAATTGCTTATTTCTTGATCAATTTCAATGGGGTTTTATTCTTGAATTCTTGGGGTTCTTTAATATGCTGAATCTAACCGTGTATTAAGTTTTTGGATTTTGGGCCCCGTTTTTAAATTGGTCCACATTGAGGTCCAAAGGGTCCAAAATTAAACTTTGTTTGATTTCATCAAAAATTGAATTATTGGGGTTCTTTGATATGCTGAATCTAACCATGTATTTAGATTTTTTATTTGTGGACCCGCTATCAAATTGGTTCATATTGAGGTCAAAAGGGTCCAAAATTAAACTTTGTTTGATTTCATCAAAAATTGAATTATTGGGGTTCTTTGATATGCCAAATCTAACCGTGTATTTAGATTTTTAGTTTTGGGTCCCGTTTTTAAATTGGTCTACATTAAGGTCCAAAGGGTCCAAAATTAAACTTAGTTTGATTTTAACAAAAATTGAATTCTTGGGGTTCTTTGATATGCTGAATCTAAACATGTGTTTAGATTTTTGATTATGGGCCCAGTTTTCAAGTTGGTCCAAGTTGGGGTCCAAAATTAAACTTTGTTTGATTTCAACAAAAATTGAATATATGGGGTTCTTTGATATGCTGAATCTAAACATGTATTTAGATTTTAGATTTTTGGCCCAGTTTTCAAGTTGGTCCAAATTGGGGTCCAAAATTAAACTTAGTTTGATTTCAACAAAAATTGAATATATGGGGTTCTTTGATATGCTGAATCTTACCATGTATTTAGATTTTTTATTTGTGGGCCCGCTATCAAATTGGTTCATATTGAGGTCAAAAGGGTCCAAAATTAAACTTTGTTTGATTTCATCAAAAATTTAATTATTGGGGTTCTTTGATATGCCAAATCTAACCGTGTATTTAGATTTTTAATTTTGGGTCCCGTTTTTTAAATTGGTCTACATTAAGGTCCAAAGGGTCCAAAATTAAACTTAGTTTGATTTTAACAAAAATTGAATTTTTGGGGTTCTTTGATATGCTGAATCTAAACGTGTTTAGATTTTTGATTATGGGACCAGTTTTCAAGTTGGTCCAAATATGGGTCCAAAATTAAACTTTGTTTGATTTCAACAAAAATTGAATATATGGGGTTCTTTGATATGCTGAATCTAAACATGTATTTAGATTTTAGATTTTTGGCCCAGTTTTCAAGTTGGTCCAAATTGGGGTCCAAAATTAAACTTTGTTTGATTTCAACAAAAATTGAATATATGGGGTTCTTTGATATGCTGAATCTTACCATGTATTTAGATTTTTTATTTTGTGGGCCTGCTATCAAATTGGTTCATATTGAGGTCAAAAGGGTCCAAAATTATTCTTTGTTTGATTTCATCAAAAATTGAATTATTGGGGTTCTTTGATATGCCAAATCTAACTGTGTTTTTAGATTTTTAATTTTGGGTCCCGTTTTTTAAATTGGTCTACATTAAGGTCCAAAGGGTCCAAAATTAAACTTAGTTTGATTTTAACAAAAATTGAATTCTTGGGGTACTTTGATATGCTGAATCTAAACATGTGTTTAGATTTTTGATTATTGGACCAGTTTTCAAGTTTGTCCAAGTTGGGGTCCAAAATTAAACTTTGTTTGATTTCAACAAAAATTGAATATATGGGGTTCTTTGATATGCTGAATCTAACCATGTATTTTGATTTTGGACATTGGACCATAATAGGTAAATTAAAAAAAATTGAAGTTCTTAGACCACATTCTTTCTGTGTCAGAAACCTATGCTGTGTCAAATATTTAATCACAATCCAAATTCAGAGCTGTATCAAGCTTGAATGTTGTGTCCATACTTGCCCCAACTGTTCAGGGTTCGACCTCTGCGGTCGTATCAAGCTGCGCCCAGCGAAGCATTTTATTGTAACTTCCAGACATAACTTGTGTGTTAGTGTATGGATCTCTCTGACATTGTACCACAAGTTTTCATATCACAAAGGGAATGCTGGGATTGATTTTGGGGGTAATTGCCTCAAAATTTTAGGAATTAGGGGCCAAAAAAGGGGCAAAAAACAAGCATTTTTTTAGTTTCATGACAATAACTTGTGTGTAAGTGTATGGATCTTTCTGAAATTGAACTACAAGGTTCCATATCACAAAGGGAAAGCTGGAATTGAGTTTGGGGGTAATTGCCCAAAACGTTTAGGAATTAGGGGCCAAAAAGGGGCCAAAAATAGCATTTTTCTAGTTTCCAGACAATTACTTGTGTTCAAGTGTATGGATCTCTCTGAAATTGTACTGCAAGGTACCATACCAAAAAGGGAAGGCTGGGATTGATATTGGGGGTAATTGCCTCAAAATTTTAGGAATAAGGGGGCCTAAAAGGGGAAAAAAACAAGCATTTTTCTAGTTTCAGGACAATAACTTGTGTTCAAGTGTATGGATCTCTCTGAAATTGTACTGCAAGGTTCCATACCACAAAGGGAAGGCTGGGATTGAGTTTGGGGGTGATGAATCATAAGGGGTTTCAAAAAATTTGGGGGGGGGGATTTTTTTTTTTCATTTCTTTTCTTTTTTTCCTTTTTTTTTCTTTTAAAATTTTCCATTTTAAGTTGGTTATTTCTGATTTATATTTAAAAGCAAATAATAATGATATGGTAGGAGATACACACCAAACAGGATGTGTAAATTATTATATAATAAGTATTGTGCAATAGCAAGAAATTTTCAATTGCACAGTATTGCACAATAGCAAGAAATCTTCCATTGCACAGTATTGCGCAATAGCAAGAAATCTTCAAGTGCACAGTATTGCGCAATAGCAAGAAATATCCAATAGCACAATATTGCGCAATAGCAAGAAATTGTCAACTGTACAGTATTGCGCAATAGCAAGAAATATTCAATTGCACAGTATTGTGCAAAAGAAGATACTTTGTATAAATTGCTTATTTCTTGACCAATTTCAGTGGGGTTTTATTCTTGAATTCTTGGGGTTCTTTAATGTGCTGAATCTGACCGTGTATTAAGTTTTTGAATTTTGGGCCCCGTTTTTAAATTGGTCCACATTGAGGTCCAAAGGGTCCAAAATTAAACTTTGTTTGATTTCATCAAAAATTGAATTATTGGGGTTCTTTGATATGCCGAATCTAACCGTGTATTTAGATTCTTAATTTTTGGTTCCGTTTTTGGATTTAGGGCCCCGTTTTTAAATTGGTCTACATTAAGGTCCAAAGGGTCCAAAATTAAACTAAGTTTGATTTTAACAAAAATTGAACTCTTAGGGTTCTTTGATATGCTGAATCTAAACATATATTTAGATTTTTGATTATGGGCCCAGTTTTCAAGTTGGTCCAAATCGGGGTCCAAAATTAAACTTTGTTTGATTTCAACAAAAATTGAATATATGGGGTTCTTTGATATGCTGAATCTAACCATGTATTTAGATTTTTGATTTTTGGGCCCCGTTATCAACTTTGTCCACATTGAGGTCAAAAGGGTCCTAAATTAAACTTTGTTTGATTTCATCAAAAATTGAATTCTTGGGGTTCTTTGATATGCTGAATCTAACCATGTATTTAGATTTTGGATATAGGACCATAATAGGTGAATGTCCAATTATAAAATTTTTAAGTTCTTAGACCACATTCATTCTGTGTCAGTAACCTATGCTGTGTCAAATATTTAATCACAATCCAAATTCAGAGCTGTATCAAGCTTGAATGTTGTGTCCATACTTGCCGCAACTGTTCAGGGGTCTACCTCTGCGGTCGTATCAAGCTGCGCCCTGCGGAGCATTTTATTTACCCCTGTTGTTATGATCCTTACTGAATACAATGTAACTACTGGGAATTATATCTTGAAAGGAATTTGTACATGCAAAGTATTTTATTTTATATATTTGAATTGATTGACAAAATAGCTAAACATTCTTGGTCCTCCATTTCAGGATTCAGAACAGAAGAAGACTGGGAACTTTTTCTTCCTCGAGGACTGAAATTGTTTTAACAACAATACAAATAATTCTTCCTGAATGGGCTGTCCGCGGCAAACTGGTGGTGTTATGACAAGACCAATTGGAGCATGAAGCAAACTTTTACCTCTATGCATGTTATTGAGCTATATATAGAAGACCTTTTGCCGCTCAAGGGAAAAATAGCTGTCAATTATCAATTTTGTATATGATCATGTGATAGATTTAAAATAATGAGGAATGCTGAAGTTATTTTGGTGGAATTAGTATTATGTAAATGAAGAAATGATTTTTGGATAAAGGGGATTTGCTTTGAATAGCAAAATTAGTCATGACCATGATATTATAGGTTGTTAATGCTTTCAGGCTTTTTGAAATCTGTTACTTGAAATTGTGTATTTTTACTACATGTTAGAATTATCAATCTTTCCCTAATTTGATATGCTGAAATATATGTTTTTAGCATTGTCATTAATATTGTAAAAAAGTTGGACATCAACAGTGATATCTAGTAGCATTTCTCAGTTCATTATTTGATCATTATATTTTTTTATATACAAACTGAAGGCTTTAAAATTGGTGTTTTTTTTTATCTGGGGTGAACTATATTTTATCTGCATTAACCACATGTGTACACATCAGTTTTTTTTAATCCCCTTTCATTTCAAAACACATACAACATCATAACCTAAATATTGATTTAATGGTTCTTAAAGAAAAGTTGGTCAAATAGGTCATTATACATCTGAAGACCAGCATTAATACCACAATATCAAACTTACAATCTTCATGATACAGATTTTATGTCATTTATATATTTTGCTCTCATACAAATTACAGAAGTCAATATATTAGTGTCTAGGAAAAAAGACCCTCTTTCATAATACATATCATCCTTGAAACTATGAAGTATATAAAAATGGTAATTTTAAATAATTTTGGAGGGGGTTCTTTTAGTATTTCCTTATTTCATGGTGAAGTGCGATGGGAAGATTTCCAATAACATCTAATGGCATGATGGATGTTGATTGCTAGACCACAGATAGTTTTACTTAATGGATTAACTAATCATAGTAACAATAAACAAATAATTTTCTTTTGCAATCGCTGCAACAAAATACATGTAATTAAAGCAATGAAATGAAATTAAAAAAATATTTTAAGATGTTAAGTCAAGTAAATGTTAATTTGAGAACTCAAAATATTTACTACATGAATTTCTAAATTCTTCAATTAAAATGAGGGGCTTTTGTCCTACTCTGGCTAGGATTGCATTAAGATTGCTTCTGACGGATGGAAAATTTCAAAATCAAGGGTACCTCTTAATTTCAAATGTTTCAAGTTCCTTTTAAATTAAGTATCTGTGATTTATCGAAGACTGATCATGTTCACTATAATCCATTGTTCATACTGTGTAAAAAAAAAGGGAACAGTATTTTGTTGATGTTCTACAACTCAAATCCATTTGGAATATACAAATCATTTATAAACTTTCTGTACACAACTTGATACTTAAAGGATACAAACAAAACTTGATTCTGTACACTTGTATTAAAGTAACATTGTAATATGATTGTAAGTGGTGTTGACAGCTATTTTGACTACTGTGATAGAAGTCTGGACAGGATTGTAACCTGTTGCAGGATAAATTGACTGATTTTTATACATTGTTAATTATTTATTTGCATTTTTTAAACTTGGCTGTAAAATGTTCTTTACTCAAAACTTTAATAGATTTCATAGGAAACTATTTACATTTCAAAATGACCTTAGACATGAATTATAGGATTATGGAATAAAATTCCTGATGATTTAAATTACATGATTTGTTTATTTCTCTTTCTTTTAACAAGAGAACAATACATGTACAGAACTGAAGTTGGAAAATACTTTCTAGTGCTAATCTTTAAAAAATTTGAAAAAAATGGCCATTATGGTTGTAAAAGAACATGAAGTAATTTGTTTGTTGCACATGTAATAATACAATTGGTGCTAAATACAAATGATTTGTACTAAATATTAACATTATATCTTATTCTGACAGATTGTTTCACAGATTTTCAATTATGTTTAAGGAATGAAATAGGTATAAGAATTAACTTGACTTGAATTTAATTATATTCTTATCTAAGTGATGTTTTTTTATCCGAGCAATGTATAAATGATTTATGAACTGCTGAAATAATTTCACACCCTTTGGAGAAAATTTATATCATACAGAGCAAATTTATGGTACTGTTTCAGCGGTACCATTACTTTTGGAGTAAAACCCCTGAAAATTTATTTATGAAAATTCTGCAGTTACGGATGACATTGAAAGTAGAAATACTAAATAGCAATGTTTCAATATAAAATAGAAAGAAATACAATTCAAATAATGAGGTTTAATTAATGTTACAGTATCTTTTTGTGAGTGCTCAAGAGGAAACAATTTATAGAACATGTAGAATGCACACAACTGACAAAAAAAATCACAAAGATAACACTCTAAATTAACTTTCTACATTTTAACAGAATTACAGAAAATTAAAAAAAAATTGCAATTTTTCTTCCTTTGATTGCTGCAACTGAATTGTTTTTTTGAAACTAGATCTTTTTTTCAATTGTTGAAAAATTTGAACCATATACCTGTAAAAAAATAAAGTGCATACATATTGGTTCAAAAACAATAAATGATAGTTACAATGTTAGTTTGTATTATATTTCCACCCTAATGTGGAGTACTCACATAGACCATTATGGCTCCCATTTGTTAATGATCTGGAATGTCTTTGTATGAACACAGTGGTACAGTTACGTGACAGAGTCATAATTATATATAATGATTGGGAATGGTCAGAAACGGTCAGCCAAGTACTTCTGACAGTTAGGTGTGTCCTCTAATATTAGAGAAACTCTGTCGATTTTGTCTAGTCTGATTACAATCCTGACATGTTGGGACAGATTCTACTGTATCGGAACAAAATCTTTACAATGTCCTGCATCACTAGTGGATCTCTGTTGGACCATATTCAGGAGAATAGAGATGATGTCGGCACAATTTCGATCATTTTTATTACCATGAGAAAGATACAAATTTGATCAGAATTGGATTGAGAATGTGATGAACAGGACACTCCCATAACAATATCTGATTGTTGTGATAAAATAAATGTTTTTACATATTTTCCAGCTTAAAAGTAAAGTTACCAAAATAATGAACTTCAAGAAAATTTCAAAAGGGAGAGTCCCTGATCAAATGGCAAAATCAAACGTTAGAATCACATGATCATGATTGGAATTAAGACAAATTTAACCTGGAATGTAAGGTCAGTAGTTAAATTCCTGATGTGTGACTAAGGCTTAAAAGCCAGATAGAACATTTTCATGAGCTATTCATTTTCTTCATTCTTTTTGCCATGATCTTTTCAAAAAGGACCTGTAGTTTGTGAAACAATTCTTTAAATTTGATATGTTGGGTATTGTCTGGCCTGCAACAAAAGTGGCAGTATGCGAGACATAGGTATTACTATCAGCGGTCCTTGACCTCATTTTCATGGTTCAGTGACTGCTTGAAAAAAAATTAGTTTTTTGTTTGGTATATGGGTTCCTTGCAATGTTTACATGTCAGTCAGACAGGGTTAACCTGACCTCAACCTCAATTCATGGATCAGTGATCAAGGTTAAAGTTGCGTGATTAGGTCTGTTTCTCAGATACTACAAGCAGCAGGTCAACTATATTTGGTGTATGGAATGATTGTAAGGGGTACATATCAGACTGACGGGTTTTATCTGACCTTGACCTCATTTTCATGGTTCATTGGTCATTGTTATTTTTTGGTGTTTTGGTCTGTTTTTCAAGTACTGTATGCAATAGGTCAACTATATTTGGTGTATGGAATGATTGTAAGGTGTACATGTCTGTCTAGTGGGTGTCATCTAACCTTGACCTCATTTTAATGGTTCATTGGTCAATGTTAAGTTTTTGTGTTTTGGTCTGTTTTTCAATTACCATGAGCAATGGGTCAACTATATTTGGTGTATGGAATAATTGTAAGGTGTACCTGTCTGTGTGACAGTTTTTATCTGACATTGACCTCGTTGTCATGGATCTTTAAAAATGTTAAGTTTATGTGATACTTGTAGTAAAACCAGTATCTTTAAGACTTTCAACATAAATACAATGGTCAGTAAAACAGGCGAGACATTTCAGCGTGTGCACTCTTGTTATATTTCTTGGTATTTAATGAGATTTTTTTCCAGCCTCTGCATAATACCATTGTTCTGTCTACTGGCTTCTATGACATGTAATTAGCCATTGGGGCCAGATGGAAGTCACATTTTTATGCCAAAGCCACTATGTGATGGGGGCATATAGTGTTACCCATGTAGGTCCTTTTCAATATCAAACAGTTGTCCAAAATTTTTTCAGTAATTCCTTCAAATATTTATTTGATTTGCATTACATTAGTGTAAAATGACTATTTACAGATCAAGTTTGTGTTTCTCAACAGTTGATTGACTATTTTTGTGGAATTATGAATCTTGACTTGTTATTGTAATGTCTGCAGATCTGGAACTAATCTTTGGTACATTAATGTATAATGATAACTTGTAGATTGAATGCATTGTGTACTGGTTTGCTGACTTTTTCCAATTAGGCTGCTGATTTGACATACACACATGTTGTACCCTCCATCTATTTATTTTTGAAGTCTGAATTAGCCAATCTGAAAGATCTACATTGAGGGTCTTCAAACCATTTTGATTGTATGCAAAACATGGCTGTTGCAGGCTTTCTTGAATAAAGATAGGTGTCAATTATAGCTCACCTGGCCTAAAGGGCCATATGAGTGATTGCAATCACTTGCCATTGTGTCGATGTATACTTTAAAAAAATTCTTCTCGAAAATAAATTGGTCATATGTTACCAAGTTTGCCTGAATTTTCTATTGGGTGTACAGTTTGAGGATTTGATCCATCAAGCATTGTTACTAAAAATAAGGCTCGAGTATGACTACAGTTATTGAGTTGTATCCCAAAAAAACTAAGAGCAAAACTGACATCTGGGGAAAAAATCAGGAGGTGGAGGTGTATCTGCTGTAAGATTTTTTAGAAGAGTTGGACAATCCATTTTGATGTGATCCTCCTAAACATGCATGAAATATTTGCCACTGGATTTTAAGCAACCAACAATCAATCAATCCATTTTGATGTTATTGCCCTCTAAAAGACCATTTGACATTTTCCCATCACTTGGCATTTGTTATATTAAACTTTAAAACATTTTTTTTTTAAATTTCCTACACTACTGGGCCAAATGTTACCAAACTTTATGTGAATGCTTCTTAGGCTATCTAGTTTAAAATTGTATCCAGGAATTTGAGCCAACAAACATGGCCTCTTACTAAAAATAGAATAGGGGTGTAATATAGTACATCTCAAAAACTAAAGCTGGTGAAGGTTTAATGTTTCAGCAGTTCTATCTCCTATGGAATTTTTAGAAAAGTCCAACAACCCATTTATTGCCCCTGAAATATCTATTATTCATGTTGTTAGCTAATTTAAGTTATTGGTTTAAATCTTAAAAACCAAATCGGTTAAGAGCAAAACAGTCGGGTATACATCATCAGCAGTGTGATGTCTATCTTGTACTGAATGTTCAATTTAAGCAAATTTTGCATTGTATGTTGACAATCTTCAAAAACAGTTAAAGAGAGACTTAAAATAATAAAAATGACGAGCATTAAGATCTAACTAGAGGCTCTAAAGAGCCTGTGTCGCTCACCTTGGTCTATGTGCATTTTCAACAAAGGAAATTCTCCAACATTGTAGACAAGAATAGAAGTCATGACAAAAATCTGTTTTGTTGATCTTGTATTGCTGATCATTTAGCCTGTTTAGTTTCTCTCTATCTTCTTTAGTTTTTGCTCAAAACACAAAAGAGGATAAAAAAAATCCTCATTTAAGGGCAATCACTCTTGTAAAGAGTCACAGTCTACTTAAGTATATCGGCAAAATTTGACTTGTTAGTAGATCTTGACTTGCTGATAATTTTTGTGATTTAAAGTGTATCTTTATCTATTATAATTTTCTATCATATATGACAAAACGCAAAAAAAAAGGTGAAAATGTTCTTTAAAGGGCAATAACTCGTTTTGCTGATCAATTTTGCCTAGCTAAGTTTCTATCTGTCTATTATAGTTTAAGATATAAGGCAAAAACGCAAAAAAAATGGTCAAAATCATCATCAAATGGCTATAACTCTAATAAGGAGTCGATTGACGATTTCGACCATGTTGACCTATTTGTAGAACTTGTCTTGCTGGTCATCTTAAAGTTTCTCTGTATCTATCATAGTTTTCAAGATAAAGGCAAAAATGAAAAAAATGGTAAAATTTGTCATTTAAGGGCAATAAATCCTATAAGAAGTCGTTTGACAGTTTTGACATGTATGGATAATTGGTAGAGCTCAACATCCTGAACATTTTTGTTCATGTCGGATTTTCTCTCTTTATAATGGTTTTCAAAATAATAGACAAAACTTGCATTTTACCCCCTATGTTCTATTTTTTGCCATGTTGGCCATCTTGGTTGGCAGGAGAGGTCTTCAGACATATTTTTTTAAATTAGATACCCCAATGAAGATTGTTGCCAAGTGTGATTAAACTTGGCAAAGAGTTTCAGAGGGGAAGAATTTTGTAAAAGATTACAAAAATTTACGAAAAATTGTTAAAAATTGACTATAAAGGGCAATAACTCCATAAGGGGTCAATTTACAATTTTGGTCATGTTGACTTATTTGTAGATCTTACTTTGCTGAACATTATTGCTGTTTACAGTTTATCTCTATCTATAATAATATTCAAGATAATAACAAAAAACTGCAAAATTTCCTTAAAATTACCAATTCAGGGGCAGCAACCCAACAACGGGTTGTCTGATTCGTCTGAAAATTTCAGGGCAGGTAGATGATGAACATTTTTACCTCATGTCAGATTTGCTCTAAATGCTTAAGTTTCAGAGATATAGGCCAAAAACTGCATTTTACCCCTATGTTCTATTTTTAGCCATGGCGGCCATGTTGGTTGGTAGGCGGGTCGTCGGACACATTTTTAAAACTAGATACCCAAATAATGATTGTGGCCAAGTTTGGTTAAATTTGGCCCAGTAGTTTCAGAGGAGAAGATTTTGGTAAAAGTTAACGGACGACGACGAACGCCAAGTGATGAGAAAAGCTCACTTGGCCCATTGGGCCAGGTGAGCTAAAATGAGTTAAAACTACCAAAATTATCAGTTGTTTGCCCTTTGAGCATTTTTATGGCCCCAACGCAGAGAAGGGGGTATAAAGTCCGTCTGTACATGCGTCCATCCGTACGTCCCAAATTTAGTTTCTGATCTCTAACTTTAATTTGCCTCAACCAAATGCTATCAAACTTATGCACAATGCTTCTTACCAAAAAACACAGATCAAGTTCTAATTTTGGTTAATTTTTGGGTCACTTTTACCTTCTAGATGGAGAATCTTTTAATAATAAAAATGTTTAATCAATTAAGATTACAAATAAGTCAACACTTGGCATCTGTATTGCTCATCGTCGTTAACTTGACAAAACGTCTTCTCTGAAACTACCGGGTCAAATTTAACCAAACTTTGCACAAACAATATAGGGGTATCTAATTTAACAAATGTGTCCGATTGCATGGCAAA